TTCAAAAAGGGTTTAATGAGTTTACAAAAGATCTCGAAAATCAAGAAAGTCGTGTCGAAGACATCTATCGGAAGGCAGATGAACTTCTAAAAGAGAAATTTCCTGAGGATGCCCTAGTCATAGAAAAGTTCAGACAGGTCCGCGAAGCTCTAGAACGTCTGAAGGATCTGGTTAGAAAACGACAAGAAAAGCTCCTGGAAGCCTATGAGATACAGTGCTTCTTTAGAGACACAGATAAAGCTATATCGTGGGTGAATGAAAAGTCTATTCCCTTATCCATTGAGGACTGTGGTCGTGATCTTGCCTCAGTCCAAGCCTTACAAAGGAAGCACGAAGCATTAGAAAGGGATTTGACTGCCCCAGATGAAAAGATTGTTCGACTTGGAGACGATGCTAAGGCGCTTGCACAGAAGCATCCTGATTCGCAAGACACTATACAAGGCAAGTATGACGAATTAATTACTGCATGGGATAAGCTGAAAAGTCAGGCTGTAGATAGGAGAGGTAAACTGGAAGAGTCATTCAAGATGCATCGCTTTTCGGCTGACTGGAGAGACTTGAGTATCTGGATGAATGACATGAAGACGTTAATGTTGGCGGATGATTTGGCAAAGGATGTAGTTGGTGCTGAAGCCCAAGTAGAGCGACATAAGGAATACACCGCTGAGATAAATTCTCGAGCTGAAAGTTTCGATACATGCATGCAAGAAGGTCAGGCATTACTAAGTGTTGGCCATCCCTGTAGTGGAGACATAGCTGCTAAACTTTCCACCCTTGAAAGAGAGAGAGCCTCCTTGATGCAGTTGTGTGAGGAAAGACGTGAACAGCTAGAACAGTGTATGGGCCTTCAGTATTTTTACCGCGACGCTGAACAGTCGGAATCTTGGATTGGTAAGCAAGAGGCCCTCTTAGAAATAAATGATGTGGGAGACTCACTCGATTCTGTGGAAGCACTTATAAGGAAACATGAAGACTTCGAAAAGTCACTTTTAGCACAAGAAGAAAAGATGCGACAACTTGATGAATTCGCTGCAAAATTAATCGAGTCAAACCACTATGCGGCTTCACAGGTTCATGAGATTCAGGAAGGTCTTCAAAGTAGACGAAATGCATTAAAGGAGAAAGCTCAGAACCGCCGTCAGCGTCTTGAAGATTTCCACCGTTACCAAATGTTCGATAGAGATGCAGATGAAATGCAGTCATGGATATCAGGAAAACTTAAATATGCACTTGATGAAAGTTACAAAGACTCCACGAATTTGCAAACAAAGATGCAGAAGCACCAGAATTTCGAGGCAGAAATACAAGCGAACCAATCCCGCGTCAAAGATATTAAAAAGACAGGTCAGGATTTGTTAAATGCAAACCACTACAACTCGCCAGAAATAAAAGTAAAGATTGAACAGTTGGATGAAACTTGGTCTCATCTCGTAAATGCCATGGGAGACAAGAAGAAAAATTTAGATCAAGCAAGTAGTCAACAACAGTTCGCTCGTAACGTAGATGTCAAGTTATGGTTGAATTATGTTGAAGCTCAGATAGCCTCAGAGGATGTCGGTCGTGATCTAAACGGTGTGATGAACGCACAAAAGCTGCACAACTTGCTTGAATCTGATGTAGCTACTCATCGTGAACGTATAGATGCATTCAAAGTCCAGGCTGACACGCTTGCTGCAGAAAGTCATCTCGACGCTCCTATTATCCAAGAAGAACAAAGACAGTTAGCCCAACGTTACCATGACCTGCAAATCCCTCTAAGTCAACGTCGTGAGAAGTTAAGAGATGCCCTTCCCTCGGACACATCTTTGCAGCTTGAATATGGTGACTGTAGTGAGCTGATGAAGTTACTAGTCGATTGTTGTAAAGATTTTAAAGCACATTCGCTTAACCAAATCGAATCAGAAATGTGGCATCAGTATGCTGAAAGCTTCACTACTGGCTCAGTAGCCACTCACAAAGATGCCTTCAGGTTATGTGTTAAAGATAAGAACCCTGTTGTTGAAAACTATGTTGGTTTTATCGAGTCGTACCGTGATCCCTTTGGTGTTCGTGCAAGGTTTGAATCATTTGTCGCTGTTGTAAATAGATCAGTGTCTAAAAATTTCCAACGACTTGTAAATAATGCTGAAAGGTTGTTAACAAGTTTACCATGGCCTTCTACGTTTGAAAAAGTTAATTTCTCACAGCCAGACTTTACTAGTTTGAATGTGGTTACGTTTGCAACTGCTGGGATTCCTGTTGGAACTAATACTCCTAACTATGATGATGTACGACAAGTCGATGGATTTAAAAATGTTTCTTTGAATAATGTACTTAGTGTTCGTCTCGAGGATCCTAAACCAGAATTTCTACGTAATGAAGACAAGCAAATGTACGTGGAACATGCTGAAAGTTCCTTTGAATTACAAGTTGGACTTCATGAACTGACGGGATATGGTTCAGGTAAACTGTTTCGGCGTGATTGTTATGGAAAACGAAATTTCCACACGAAAACTACTGAATATGTCATAAATGGAGATCCTGTAAAAGGTTGGTGTAATCCAGGAGAAACGTATGACATCAAGTTTTCAAACCTTTCATCTGCAATAGACAAGTGTCAAGCTGAGTGCGTTGGAATTTATTTATCTGATTTACCTCTTGTTCTGGAGCAGTTCGGTCTGAATACCGACTGTGCTCAAGGCGATGTCTCCGATGTAGTCTATATTAATTGGTTGTCAATGATTCCTTCAGTTGTAACTTCCATAGAGTTTTATTCTCCAGCAGAAAATGCTGATAACATTAGATCATGGTGTCAAGCACATTATTGTGCTCGTTATGCAATTCTACGAGTTTTGATTAAAGCTGACGATTCTATGGGACGTACGCATAAAGTAGTTGGTGAGGACGATGCATCTGATTTGTGTATTTCCTTGGATCCAAAAAGACTTTTAACTGTGGCTCGTTCAGCAATTGGTGAATTCTTAAGAAAATTACAATATTACAAAGGTAAAGAGAATGCTATGTGTGGATATGCCTTCTTCCAACACTATAGTCAACTACTTCCAAAATATTTGACTGATTTGCTCTGGCATAAATGGCTACGTGGATATCTTCTGATGCTGCAAACAAGATCTAAGTGGTTGGATATAAAGCACAACCTACAACCTGATGATCTCGTCTTAGTTAACAGTGCTGAAACACAGAGAGGTCTCTGGCGAAAGGCTATAGTTAAGCAGATGTACTATGACCAAGATGGCCACGTCAGGACACTGTGTTTGAAAACTTCAGCTCAAGAAGTGGAACAAGATATAAGAAGCGTACGAAAGGTCAACGTGGTGATCGTTCGCGGGGAGTGTTAATCGCGACAGATAGATAGACTGTATGATAAGCAGCCAATCAATATTATGTGACCTTTTTTGTCGCGATTATTGGCCAATTAATGTAACTCACACCACGTGATGGTGACCTTGAATGTTCTTTTTGTCTGTCACTCTACTTGTATATACATGTAATTAATTGACTGTTCATTTTGTCCGTACCTTCAATACTGTTCGGTACGTTTTTGTCCGTTTTTTGTAATGACGGTGGATTTGTACATTTTTCTTGGTGTAATTTTATGATTTGTTTTATGTTTTAGAAACAGATAAAGTTAAAGTCAAGTTATTCTGTTTTAACTATAGCTAAGCCGAGACTCTGTATCGTCAGTAATGAGGAAGGACTAAATCTGTAGGACAAAAATAATCCTAAACTATCTTCATTTATTAAATGTAAAATTCGCGGTTAATGAATCCTATAGGGCTCAGTGGTTTCAGGCACTGTGCTGATGCATGCTGTGAGAACTAAAGGTTTCAGGAATATCATACCCCTAAGTCCCAGATATTGTTTAGTGACAAAAGCAGTAGACTGTCAAGACTAAATGTCGCTGGTACCTGTTCTTGCACAAAGAGCGTATATCCGGACTTAAGTAGTAAGTAGCCATGTGTCACATCATTTCGGTAGCGTTCTCGGATCATCCTGAATGGTGCAGGTTCTACCGTCACATTTATTCGGCAGGAACATATATAGTATTTCCAAATTATCTGCAAAACAATGTAATCAAAGAAGGTACCTATATTACTATATTCATAAAAATTAACCTTTTTCAGGATGGGAAGTGTGAACTCATTTTAGCAATTTAAGTGTGGTTTATCAAAAATGAGGCTGACCATTTACAAAACGTGTCACTTATTCCAAATGAATTTAGTTTGAAGTAGAAAGAAGGGTGGCGAACCATATCAAAAACGCGAAAACAAAATTCCTGAAATGTATTCATCACCCTTGGGACTTTAGAGGCCAGGGACCTAAAATAAGGCTGTTGCAGCGATTCAAATTGCCTCTAGTTCGAAATGCAACGAAACACTGTAATATTAATCAAAATGTCGTATTGTGATCCTCAAGCTAACTAGATGCAGAGAAATTGGTGGCAGTTGATGAAATCCAACTAATTCTTCTAAAACGGAAAGAAGGATACATTATCAGTTCACATACACTCATAGTGAGTAGAAAGATGCAAAATTAATTTCTAACTACAAAACACGACCTAGGTACCACTACTCAAACTGATAACCTGTCATCGTTGCTCGCGCTTCAGTTAAGATTCTGAAAAGAATAGCCAGGAAATCTCTAATGGCTTTTTTGGAAAACAGCAGCCTTTGATTCAGGTCTCAGCACGCTCCTAGAGAAATCCTGTGACGATTTCTTTCACCGAACGCCTAATTAGTATGATATAACTTTAAAGAAATGCTCGCAAGCCCAATCCAATTTCCCTATTCCATTTCACAAGTTTGTAACGCCTAGAATAGCCATGTGGGAGAGTACGAAAGCCGAACTTGAATTATTCAGATCCCCAGGGCTAGTCATGACAGCACTGTCAGCAGGAGAAAATGGGAAAGGATGGGCACATAATGAGAACAGAATAACATAAGCATGCGCAGTTCGTCTTTACTCTCAACATATTGGACACCCCAAATTTTAACCTTTGTGAAAAACCTTTGCGCACTATTTCAAGTTGTGCAATGTGGCGGCTGGTTTGATGACACGACGACATCATGTTGAATGTTCTACTTTCTCCTATAATAACGCGCAATACATCCCTGTATTGTGTGCGGTTTTATTCACAGTCGGCTGATAAAGCACTTTTGTATAAACTGCGCAAAGCAACTGGTTATACATTTTCAGCTTGTAAAGAAGCACTCGTTAAACATGAAAATGATCTTGAGAAAGCCAAAGATTGGTTAGCAAAAGAGGCTGTTGCTCGAGGTTGGGACAAGGCTGGCAAACTAGCAGGACGGTCAATGAGTGAAGGTCTTTTGGGAGTACTAGGGAGTCGTACTCGGGCTGTTATTGTTGAAGTTAATTGTGAAACTGATTTTGTTGCGAGGAATAATTCTTTTCAGTCTCTAGTAGCTGTAACTGCTGAGACTGTAATGCAAAATTACACAGTAAGTATCGAAATTTTTTGTTTTCTTAAGTTATTTGACTTACTGCGTTGCTGATAAACTCATTCCATCTTTTGAATGAACCTAAACAAAATTGACTGATTAGTCTTTTTGTTTCTTTGTTATAAGTTTAGATGTTATCAGACAGGTTTCCCCGAATGAACTGTAATGCCTCGTATTATGTTGTACTTGTACAAACTTTAATATTAAATAGCGTCATGTTAGCAAGTAGCTTTAGGTATGGCAGCATTCATGAATTAAACTATAAGAGTAACAGCTGTCTTATTATGTTACTATTTCAGTGTATTCCAGTTCGACTATTTCCATAATGAGGTGAGAACTTTGTAGGATAGGGTGCATGAATCCCCTGAGTTTTTTATGACCACTTTATAAGTTGCTGACGCTTACTTTAACCCCTTGCCAGTCCTATTCTGTATCCAAATAATTTTTTGTTGGTAAACTTAAATTCTATTCCATCAACAAAGTCAAATCATTAGTTTTCTGATCACCAAGTACGGCTTGGTTTATCTTATCCGATGAACTAAGATAAACTAAGTTAAACGCTTAATTTTCTTCTTGCTATAACTTTCATTTAAAAGATGATAAGAGAAAAATGTTGACTGTGAGGGTAAAGTGGTACTCTTAACTTGGCATGGACTTGAAAGCATAAAGTAAAGAGGAATAGCGACCCATCCTGGGCCCGCACCTAAATCGTCTTTGCGTCCTGATGGCCGTTACAAAATTTCCAAACACAAGATTGTTTCTATCTCCTCAGGATATTGATGTCACACGTATTATTATTTATTTATTTAAACGCAGAAAAACTTGGTACAATATGGCACCAAGAAAGATGCGCCACACAATATTGTGTGAGGGCTAAGATACTGCCCGGGCGCCCAGACCGAAGCAGGTGGTTTTAAGACCCCTATGACTATCAGCAGCGGCAGCGTCAGGAGCTGCGTTCCCATGGTTGCCGGTGACCCATATGGGTTCATACGCCATTTGATCCGATTGAATTCTGGAGCCCATGTACCCCATGGTAACTGCTTTTAGTCTAACCGCTATCCAAACAACCTTCCTGACATGGTAGGACCTGCAGGGACATGAGTCCCAGTCAGTTTAGCTTGTTGGGTCACTGCGGCATTAAAGCCCGACCACCACGGCAGTAGATATCGTGGGATGTCACACGTAGGGGAGAATTAGCTGCAGAGTTTGTTATATGCTTTTCATTTTAATAATACTCGCTATCTACTATAAGAATAGAAAATGATTGACAGGGTAATCATGAGAATATTTTCTTAAAAGCTTTAGTTGACAAGTTTAGTATGTTTACAATGTGCTCTTGTTTTCTTAAATCCAACTATTTCCCATTGAGACATGCCCATTTTAATAAGAAAAAATCTAAGTTACCGAACGCGGTCACCACTCCTCTTGTCTGGGAAGCACACTAATTCCATTAGATTGGTAACTAATTAAATTACGGCTTGGTTATCAAAAAATTATTTAGTGCATGTTGTCATCGATTGCACTGTTAGTGTCTCCGTCTACCCGTTCGGAGTTGACCTTGCTTATGAGTAGTGTCCTTCTCCAAATATATATGGTTATGAAACGTCGAAATTAAAGATTAATAACTACCAATCTTACTCATATCACGTGTAATGCGATTATGACAAGCACTATCAAGGTTGGCTGCGTCCCATTTCATGTGAGGAACCTAAGTAAATTGTTAAAGTTATTCATCTTTACATTGAAGTGACTTTATTGTACTATTCGTGACCAACCACCCTTTATCACAGAGAGATGCTTGTTGAAGTATAACCAGATTCAAGTAAGCTTGTGTACAAACCAAGGTGTGAGATATCTTTGAAGCTTTCAACTGCCTTGAAATGTGTATGTAGATGTAGGTTTATTACGTAGAATTCGGTTTTTTCATGAGTGCAGATGTATTCGGGCCTTATATCCGTATTAGTCTTGTATTCCAAAATCTCAATTTTATCTGCTTTTGCAGTATTCACTTATTTCACCCTTCTTTCTAATCCCTTTCTGTACATTAATGTAAAGTTTGGCATCTCGTACCGCCCACAGAACTAATGAACTTATCTCCATTTCCGAAACTGTCCATGAGGTTGGCTTCATATATGAACACAAGTGTTCACTATCAGAACATTAAACCATTTGAAAAATAATTATTCACTGAAAGTCTAAGCCACTCCTCATTTACTAAATCTCCGTTCATTGAGTCGGGTATTTAAATACTCATTATCTATTTCACATATTTTTGTCAGCACTAAAATTAACATGAATGTTACTAGCAACATTTAGTACTTTAGACTCATATCAGGTCCTCTGTGAATTTACTGAACGCCGGACCACAAGCAACAGCGCAACCCCACTCTCATTCCCACCCTAATGTAAATAACTAACTGCTACAGTCTTACGACCACCTAACAAATCTTTCTGGCATGGTAGAACTTGTAAAACCAATTATTCCGTGCTGTACAATTCATTGATTCATTGCAACACACCAACTCCACCAGTACATCAAGGTAGCTGTTGTCGGTCAGTGCCCTTAGTGTTGCTTACGTTTATTCTGTTATCCTTTGACTACTCTTGTATTTCTCTTCTGTTTATGTATGGCTGTTATGTTGTTTTGTGCAGCCCATTTCTAAGAGTTCATGGAGTGTGGCGACTTGAACTGCTGCACATCGGTGCAACCCGACCGATAGCTGCTACTTTGACGTGGTGGTCGGGCTTGCACATCGTGATGACCCAACAAGCTACACTGGCTAGAACCAATGTTCCTGCAGGTCCTACCATGCCAGGAAGGTTGTTAGGATAGCGATTAGACTAAAAGCAGTTACCGGCATTGTGTAAGAATCTTTCTTACACTATGCTGGGGGTCTGAGGGCGAAGTCGTACTGCTGGGGAACAGGGATGTAACAGCAGTAAGGTGTTTCCCTCAGATGACCAGCATGCCAGCTATGCTGTCTCTGCACTCCGGAGAGAGGGGGTTAGAAAAGGTCGACCCCAAAAATTGTACATCCCGACTTACCCTACGGTGGTCCGTAACCGGCGGTAAGTTTACTAATACGGAACCAAACCAAGAAACCAGTTCATACAGGCCGTGTGTGACCGGCCTCAAGCAGTTGTCCCCTGGGCTCTGTGGTCACGCAACACTAACCCTCTCTCTGTTTCAGGTACTCGAAGAATCAATCAACTTCCACGGTGTGGGCAGCCGGGAAGTAACAACCGCCCACACACTTCCAAAAGCACACGAAGCCTTCCAGACATCGGTGCAAAGTTCTGTGTCGAAAACAGACAGACAGACAAGAGTTCATGCTGCAGTAGATTAGTGTTCAAGTAATAAAAAATAATAGTAATATAGCTCTAGACATGTATCGTTTCGATTCCGTTAATATGAAATCTGAATGCACAACTTGAAAAATAGCATCATCTTTTTAATATTTCCACTGTTATGTACTACTATGGCTTGCGGTTACTAAAAGTTTAGATTCAGCTCATTGTAATTCGGGATGTCAAACACTAGTGGCTAATGCGTTGCCTAGTACATAAGCCTCTAATAACCTGCGTTATTCACTCTCTACACTTTGTTTTTTATGCGTCTGTAGTGATCTATATTTCCATGGGCTCAACTAGTGTCTGCACTATTCCTTGGTGGATCCAATGAATCTAAAACACTGGCCACCAATATGATTTTCAATCATTTCTTAAAGCATATTTTTTTCCATCTTTTGGCGTACATTGAATACATTATATGATCATAATGCTCCATCCTGTTTTTCATTTAAGGAACCAACTCAAATTTCTTTGGATTCTGACCAACTGAATAAGTTAACCATGCCAAACTCTTCAACTCTACAAAATATTGTGGCTGCGGCCATAGGGTCTATTGGTGAAAGTATTAAGATAAGAAGAGCGATAGGAATTTGTGTCCCCGAAGGCTCGAGCTCAAGTCGTTTAGCCATTTATTCTCACACAAGCACAGAAGGTATATTGCAAGGAATACGAGACGTTCGTTTCGGAAAATATGCTGCAGTTATCCGGTATAGACCAGTGAATGATAAAGTAAGTTTGTTAGTTGTTTTTTTTTAAATTTTATTAAAACATAAAACTGACACATCACGGGCACCAGTAAATGCTCCACACAAAATCTTACAGTCTGTGCGACAGCTAGGAATACCCGGACGCCCAGATCGAAGCTAGTGGTCGTCTTTAACGGAGCCTTTGTGTGGCCTGAAGTTTGATCCACAATACAGTAGAGCAGCGTGAGGAACTGTGTTCCTATGGTTTCTGGCAACCAAAACAGGTTCATACACCATTCGATTCTTTCGAATTCTGGAGCCCATGTACACTATAGGTTTAGAATCAGGGTTTTCCAGCTCATCAAGGTAGATGCGTGTTTCCAACAGTTCAGTTGTTAGCGTCACACGTTCACATTCGTCTTCCTAACTTTTGGGGAACACCTCTACGTAAAGGCAGTGAATAGGACTTACCTGCAGAGGGTATGAACTCATGGCCACATTAGAGCATTTCAAGTAGAAGACCAAAGTCTATCCACCCTCAACAGTATCAGGTCGTTTATGGAGGGGGGGCTTTGTTAATTATCTTTATCTTTCCGTTTACTCGACATTTTTGTATGATACCAGTAATTTTACTGCCTCCAAATATAATGTCCGATTGTGCTGAAGATGAGTATATGCTGAGTCAGCTGATTTCCCTACCTTCTTTCGTCTTATGTGCAGCAGTTCGAATCGCCACACTTCACGTAGCATACAAAGCAAGAGAAGAGAGATAATAAACAGAAATATGAGGCGAAAAGAATAGTAATATGGAAGAACTGTATAGTTTTATTGAATATTATAAGTCACAAGGAATGGATGCATCTGCGCCACTGAAAATGATTTTGAGCCATATCACCAATTGTCTCCAGCCCTCATTGGTTCTTACAATCCCGAGGACCCAAATCACTCAGGGAGTTTACACCTTCCTGCGTGGTTGGCTTGCTGGCTTAAACTAACTGTTGTGGATTTCATTGACTGATGAGGCAATGTTTTGGTTTGACCACCACTAGCCAACTCTTTTCCAACCTGACCCTATGTCAGTCAGCTAACATTGCCCGTCAGTCGAGGAAGGCGACGGCTAGCCTAGGCATACGTAACACATGACCGAGCCATCTCAATCGGTGTAACTTGACAGCCTCATCGATTAATTTCCTCTCCTTACGTAACACTCGATGAGTAATCTCAATATTGCTCACCCTATTATACCAATTCACACGGTAAATACAATACAGATACCTATTATCAAAGACAGCTAGGGAACCTGTTCATGTCTTGCACCTTCAATGGCCATGTCTCACAACCATAAAGGAGGACGGAGCGTACTGCTGAGCAGTACACACGCCCTTTGGTCGGCAGCTAGCCGGATGTCACGTGTTCACCAGAGATGGCGTAAGTTGACAGGTATATGCCAAACGAGCCTTCTGTATCCATGCAGAGATTTCTTTCGCCTGAAACTCCGAAAAGAAAGATGCGCTTTTATTATCAGCGAGAACCGATTATGGATAGAACATAATGATCTAAACGGACAGATCGGAGTAAACCACGATTACTGTATAAGAACGTATTGTCTTGTTATCTCTGATTTTAAAGCTCATTTAATTAGTTTAAATTTCCCTGACCTGTACATGTCTACTGTGATAAAAATAAGTTTTATGGGCGTTGTGGTTCACCAGCTCAGGTATCTAGACACCAAGCAGCAGACTACTGGTTCGAACCATTTACAATCTGCCAAACACTTGACATATGAGTCGACTCATTAACTCATACATGTGACATACGTAGTCCATAGCCTAATGTGAAATACACTTACATGTATTATCTACAAGCAAAGTCAAAAATGGTTGTTTTGAAGATGCGGCATATTGTTAAAGAATGATTTTGGTCAATATTAGCTATAAGTTTTACTCTTCTTGAGGTTTTCTAAACTGATTGTATAGGGAAAAACATATTGATGTTAAACACATCTTAATACCAAAAGTCAACCTTTACAAGACAGTTCACTAACTTCAACCGTTGGGTACACCTCTATAAATAAGAAAGAAGAATCTTATTCATTCTCTATGTCCCAGAATTTTAAAAATTTGCCATAAACAAACGGTTGACTGTAGGACTTGAAAACCTTCGCACAACACTCTTAAAAATGATAGATGATATCTTAGAAGTTGAACTGAAAGAAAGATGAGGAAAGAAATTACTCCCAGACAAATCATACTGCCAAAAAGATACTCTTTATGAGTTTGACATTTAAAGTTGTCTCTGTCTCTGTAGTAATTAATTACTCAAGTCGTCTACTCAAGTGTGTTAAGCTCTCTTTTTTATGCCGGTGACTAACACACCTGCTATTCTCCAGCCGAAGTATGTTTCAACAATGCCTGTTGTGTTCAACTCTCTTTTGTAAATCTTCCATTTCAGATGCTCTTGTGGAACTGATTACATTGAACTTTGTAAGGGTGTTCTTTGTAAACACATAGCTGAACACTACTCGGTTTGGTTGATGAAAATCGAGCATAGAATGACAAAGTGTTCGATCTGTGAACATGCTTAGTCAGATCATTCAATCCCACGTAGCTTATCCTCTAAAACTATCTGTAGAATTTAATCCAGCAAATTTAAAAGTTAATGTTTTCTTCACTTATATGTAAAGCCGAAACTTTGACCATATATTGACAACAAAAAAACTAAACTATGTACTCAAAAACCGTTTTGTTCAATCCCTATGCTCTTTTTATCGATTAAATTCATTCCACTTCAGTCTGCGAAATAACCTTGACATCACCAACTGCAACAACAGACAACAATCAGCATAAATGGAAGGAACCTGAAAGAAACAACCTCTTTTACCTACCTGGGAAGCATCGTTTCAACTACAGGCCGACGGAACTGACGAGGACATCAAAGCAAGAATCGGAAAAGCAAGGTGATCTTTCATTTCTCTTAAGTCTGTGTGGAGGTCAACAGCACTCAGCATCAAAAATAAGATCCGAATTTTCAACTCCAATGTGAAGTCAGTCAGTGCTACTATACGGATCAGAGACTTGCACTGCGCGTCATAAAGAGCATCTCAAACAAACTACAGACCTTCATTAACAGTTGTCTTCGCTCAATACCACTCAAGATCAGATGGCCGGCCAGAAAGGATCAGCAATAGGGATCTCTGGGAGAGAACTAACCAGGAACCGATTGTGAAACGAACTGGTAGGAAGAAATCGAGGTGGATTGGCCATGCTCTGAGGAAATCATCAAGTGACATCACTAGACAAGTCATTGCTCGAGTGGAACCCGAAAGGAAAGCGGCGAGTTGGTCGTCAGTGCAAGAGTGACTTGGAGGAGGTCATGTGAAGAGGAGATGAAAGCGTGTGGGCAGACTTGGAGCCAGGTGAAGGCTCTAGCAGAGAACCGAACACAATGGAGACGCGTGGCTGAAGCCCTATGTTCCTCTAGGAATCAAAGGAAACAATAATATACTTTAGTTTGCGTTCAGCTGTGGTTCTTTGGTCTAAGCGTTCGACTTCCAGTCAATGGGTCACAGGTTCTAACTCCGTCCCATCTACCTAGATTAGGACAGTGAGGTGAAGTATCACTAGTTCTCACACAATAGGTGTGGCTCATCGCCAACTGCATGGAATTCCATGAGGTCGTTAAGTAATGTTTCATTTCATGCTGGTCACAGGCGCTTAAACGAGATATTATTACATAGATTTCTTTTGAAATTTTGGTGTGCAGGGATTTGGTTGGTTGTAGGTTTTGTTCACGAGTTGATATCATTTAGAGAATCAGTACTATCTGGTTTTCCAATAGTTTTCTTACTGATTTCAGCCTGTGATCAGATATTATGCATTTCTGTTTGAAGTAGTAAGCATAAATTATTTCTATCTGTTGTAATTTACACTTTCTTTCTCTTTCCACACAGCCTGCCAATGATGCATGGCATGAACGTGCTGCCCGTCTAGGCAGACAGATATGTCAACATATTGTTGGCATGAATCCAAATCCTGGCTTACAACCAATCCATACAGTTACATCTACAGTTACAAATCCAGATGAAGAGAAATCTTTACTATTACAACCTTTCTTGTTAGATGAAACAATTAGTGTTGGAGAACATTTATTACGGAATGAAATGATCCTAGAAGATTTTATTCGTGTTGAATGCGGTGAAAGTGATCCAGTGGATACTACTAAAAATGTCTTACCAAATGAAGGTCAACCAGTCGCTCAGACATCTTAAAAGCATTATTCACAATTATTGCCAATGTGATTATTATCTGAAAGAGTTGTTATATTACTTACTGTGTATAGTATTGAAAAATTAATATGAATTGTTGTAAACATAATTCAACGTGTACATCGTGTGTGTGTGTGTGTGTGTGTTTGAATATCTTTAAGGCATTTAGAAGAAATATAGTCTGAAAGAGATTTTTGCTCAATTTTAATTACACACTCAACAAGTAAGCTTGTTTTCATCACATCATACTTAATTTTTTCTCTAGTTTTTGATATTTCTAAGACAGTTTAGTTTAACTCTTAAAGTAGACTTTACTTGTTTAGTTGTTTTGTTTTGTTTTGTTTTGCGAATATGTACACAATTATGTACTTTTCTTTCATGAATACCTTTCATATTGTTTTGTCTCTTTTACATAACCTATGTTTGTATGTATGTATGTTTTCTATTCATTATATAGACAAGTTGCATAACTTTTTATTATATAAAGCTTCTCATCTGAATATGCTTATGTGATATTTTCTTTGCATATCGTTTCGTGTTCCGAGTGGAACATAGAGCTTCGAACTTGAAGCGTTGAAGTTTCGGTAGCCCCCAGTGTTGTTTTTACCCGGGGGGGGGGGGGCTGCCGACTTCACACACTATGAGCTAGTAAACGAGTTGGTGAGGTTTAAGAGTTCGTCAGCTGGGAGGCGGACCCCGGACAACGAGCCGGTCGTAGTCAGCGAGTATTCTATCACTGAACCACCGACATTTCCACACCGTATGAAGTGGAATCATTGGTAATCACATATATATTGCCCTGGAAAGTACTACATTTGCGTTCGTTATAACTCTATGTTTCAGTACGTGAAAATCTACGACTGAAAACTCGAATACTATTCTCACACTGAGAAGGAGACACTGATTGATTCATTGTAGCTCTCCTGCTGTCCTAACACCTCCCCTTTTTCAACAAGTTTTCGATTGAACAGTCGCTTGAAGATTCTCAATGGGTTGTCATGCTCTCTGCAATTCCTTAGTACCTTCGACTGGTGTTTTCATACTTGGTGGTTCTTGATGTAATATTTCTGTGAGTGAATTTTCTTCACATTTAGTTACTAACATAAGCTGAATCTGCTCATCTTCTGATGTTGTTTACATGTTTTGACTACAACAGTCCTCTGACTTTCACTTTATATGTGTGTAACTGTCGTAGTTTTCTCTTCAATGACTCCAGTGGTGCACTTTAGTTTTTTGGTTATGAAATCGCAAGTCGACACAGACTCATTAACCGAAAAGTATCTGAATTTTTTCCCTTGATGTTTATTGTACTTCTTTTTTCTACCTTCATGTTTTATTTTTACACTTCGGGAGTAAATTATCCTGCATAATGCGGATTCTTTGTCTAAATATATATATTTTTTCAACAAGTGATAATCGATTAATATTTGGTGAATTCGATATTGTTACGTAATCCAATAAAAAGAAAACGTTTAAAGTCATTCTGTTATCCTTTTCTTTCAGAATGGTTCCTTTAAGTGTTCAGCTTGACCATTCGACTGCGAATGAATGATATAGTGGATGTAGGACATACTGAATACTGTTTTTGTGACAGAACTGTTGAAAATGACTTGATATGAACTGTGTACCATTGTCTGGGCAATCCTAGGCGGCAGTATACTACTTCTCCAGGTTTCTCAATTGTAGACCTTGCAGAAAACATTTACCATAAAAATTTCTGACCATTTTGGAAATACATTACATCAGCAGCAACGTTGAGATGTACATACCCTTGAACAAACTAAAATTAAGGGTATTTCTTAAAGGGCTAGGTAATAGATCTAATCAATACCTAAAAACTCCAGATCATGATGTGAATTTAGCGTCACGTATAATTTTGCCAAACAGTTTTGGCCTTTTTAGCAAAATGACATGTGTTGGAAACTGGTGGACATCCAATCTCGTGCCAAGTTTATCGGGAGATCTAGATTATATCTGAGGCAGCGTCGAGTTGAAGTCGAATTGGATGATCATTGTAGAAAACTTCAGGATATTTCTGTCTATTCAAGAATTACACATAAGGAACACTGGAAACTATCTTGGTCTTTTACTGGGATGTGGATATCGATCCATTACTGGATAGACTTGAATGAGTACTATGAGTCTGAGGCTTACAAAAGCCTTTTTAATGTCCATATGCTCTACATCTGTTTTTCTTATATGAGCATTGTACAACTGTAATACCATGCTCCACAGAAGCAATAACTAGTGAATGCTTCTGAACTGTCGCAGGGATTGAAGGATTAGGAGTAGTTTTGACTGAATAAAGGTGATTATTATTTTCAATTACTTTTGTACTATTGTAACGACAGAAGGCAAGAGTCAGGCAACAGATCATTTATTAAGGAAATCAACTCATGTTTATATATGTCTTCATGTACATTACTATGGATATTTAAGCAAACAAACACAGTCTTCTGATTGGTTGTTTCTCACGTGAAGTTAATCTTTCATCTATTTGTGACTGTTTCTTGAATGTCAAATCCTCTATATGTTAACTGCATCCGCCTACGCAAAGTCTGCTGTGGTCGGTTTTGAATCAATCTTTGTTCACATTTTCTCACGACAAATCTTGGGAACGTAAATATTGACGTAAATTACTGTCTACCAATTTGGCTAGTAGACAGCTCTCACCACACTATGATTTAAGTTGGTGAGTCTTTGACACTCATGTCTTACATGGTCACTGTGGGAATTTTTTTAATAGTGGATAGCATGCATGTTCTGACTCCTGAATCAATTAGAAAACGTAATCTCCGCGAAAGAAGACGTGGCTTTTCACTGGCTGACTGGTTTCAACATAGGACTTTGCACAGATGTGCAACAGTTTGAGTTGCTACACTCGATGTAGCAAAGCAAGAGAAGAGAGATTATTGAATGTATCTGCGCCAGCCATTGAGAACGATTTTGAGCCATATCACCATTGGTCTCCAGCCTTCATTGCTTCTTACCGTCCCGAGCGACCCAACCAGTCAGGAAGTCTACACCTCCCTACGTGGCTGGCTTAAAATAACTTATGGATTTCATTGACTGATGAAGCCATGTTTTGGTTTGACCACCATTGGGTCTTTTTCAACCTGTTCTTATGTCAGCTAACACTGCCTATCTATGGAGGGGATGTCTAGGCATGCGTAACACATGTCTTAACCATCTCAGTCGGTATAACTTCACAACCTCGTCGATTGATTTCCCCTCCTCACCTAACACTCGACCGATGCCTTACCTCAACATTGCTCACCTTATCATACCACCATGTAACTCGGGAGACAGAACGCAGACGTGGCTTTAACCCAATGAGAGGTCTAGGGAAATCTTGTATTGAATAATTTTATGATAATTCACTTAAGTTCGATCTATAAGTTATTTCAGGACATTTATAACACCTATGATCTTGGTCAAGTAGGTTAAGAATGAACTGGAAGGGAATTTATTAAGTTTAATAATTCCCATTGTAGCATTAGGAACACAATATTCAGCGAAGAGACTCTTTTCAACGAATTTATTATCAAGCTGTATAATCATATGTATATATATATATGGTTTTTATAAAAATTATATCCGGTGAGGGAATTGTTTTATGGCAAAGCTTGAAAATTCTCAACTTAGTCAAACCATCGGTTATTTTGACATTTATAAAAGATACGTAGACGACACTTTCGTTATCTGCGATAAAAATGTAATTCTTGATGATGTCTTGTTTGCTTTCAACAACTGCCATCCTTCTTTACAATTCACCGTAGTTTAGGAGTTCGAACTAAGTATTCCCTTTCTTGATGTGTGCCTTAGCAGACGTAATGACGGGTCTCTCAAAAGATCTATCCACAAGAAACGTACATGGAACGGACAACTAACTAATTTTTACAGTTGGGTCCCTATTTCCAGAAAAAGGAACTTAATTCATTCGTTCTGCTCTAGGATAAGGAAAATTTGTAGTTCTGATTCCGTTGACTCGGAACTTGACTTCTTAAAAGCCACTCTCGCAGAAAACGGTTACCCAAACCGATTTATTGACAGCAACATGAAAGAAAAGCAGTCTAAAACTGGTCACCGACACAGTTCCAAAGAAAACCTTATTCATGAACTTGGAATTCAAAGGTGATCAAGCTTCAGATATGCTCAAAAATCGTCTCTCTAAATCAGTCAGTAAGACATTCTATGCAGCAAAATTACATATGACATTCAGTAGCCGCAAGTTGTTCTTTACCTCTGTAAAAGATAAGCTCCCCCGTCTGGCCGCCTCCATGTGCATCTATCAGTTCATTTGCTCTTGTGGAGTAAGGTACATTGGCCGTAGTCAGAGGACGCTTTCCACACGGATACGAGAACATATTCCAGCATGGTTTTACAAGGGAGAAAGAAAGTGTGTGCGAAGCTCTATTTTGGAACACCTGATCGACTTCTGTCACTCTGTCAACCCTGACCATGATTTTAAGATCATATATGGAATCCATGCTAACTTCCCGCGTTTTCTTCGTTACAGACTTCTAAAGACAGCTGAGGCCTTGACCATTCGTGATTTTAAGCCAGACCTTTGTGTACAAAAGAATTATGTACAATCCCTACTTCAGCCTTGGCCGTAGAGGGATAGACATTTATTTATTTTGTTTATTTAGTTATTCCATGTACTCTTCCCTTATTGCTACGATCATTATTAGTATTATTATCATTATTATTATTACTATTCACACTCTGAATGTTTTCCACTTGACATTTTAAACCCAAAATTATTAATTTTTAATATTTTAATTGCATTTCATGCAACTATTATTATTTCATGTATTCACACCTTTGACCTAATTCCCTCACCGGATATAATTTTTATAAAAACCATATATATATATATACATATGATTATACAGCTTGATAATAAATTCGTTGAAAAGAGTCTCTTCGCTGAATATTGTGTTCTTAATTTATTAAGTCTCTTTTATCTGGGGAAACATTATTTTGCTATTAAATATCACGGCTATATCTTCGTCTTTTTAGTTCTCATTGCTTAGCACTGATAACTCACAAACTCTTATTTATTCTTCACTTAAGCTACTTTCTCAATCCATTGAAAATTCCCCTCTGTTTGTGCTATATACTACTGCCAACTGATTGTTATGAGTATTTGTATACCACTCATATCAACTAATAATGCTTGCTAGCGAGATCGAGGTAATCTAAACACTGAACAACTGTTTCACTTGTTTGGGGCCGAGCCTATCAGTGGTGTATCCGGTTCAACTAAGCTGAGAAATGCTCCGGTTCTGAACTTTATTTGTAAGTGAACTTAAGACTATTTATTTTGATGTAGTTGTGTTCTCTGAACTGAATGGTTTATTTGCGAAGCTTTCATTGCCCTACTAGGCAACATCTTCAGTGCATACTTCAATTTGAAGTGAGCTTTTAAATTCCTCCAAGAGTTTATTAGTCATCTCTCTTGGTGACCTTGAACGTGATTGGTTGTTTTGTTTGTTTTCATACCCTCTAGGCTACTTGTATTGGTAGTGATTGTTTCCTTGACGTGAAGTTTGACCATTTGTGTATGAACTGCAGCAGTTCAGTTTGCCACACTGTAGCATGCAAAGTACAGAAAATAAAGAGACTCAAAAGAACTATACTAAGCGGAAATATAAGGTAGTAACAAGGAAAAACATCAGGACTTAATGGATCTTAGATTGTGCAAAGAATAATTGCATCTGTGCCACTGAGAACGATTTTGAGCCATTTCAAGAATAGTCTGCATCCATTGGTTCTTAGCCTCTCGACGATTCAAGTCAGCCAGACAGTCTACACCTTCCTGTTTGACTCAAACCAACTGTCAGAGGCTTCATTGTTTTGATTTTATCACTCTTAACTCATTTCCAACCTAATCTTACGTCAGCTCACGTTGCTCAACGGTGTGTAGGCGGTGGCTCAACATGTGTCCTAGCCATCTCAATCTACGTAGCTTCACAATCTTATCGACTGATTTCCATTCCTTCCTGCTATACTACTGTAGCCTAACTTCAATATTGGTCACCATATTGTGTACCGCTTATCGTAGGAGAGAGAAAGCAAACATCTGAGATCAAAGACAGCTAGTCTTTTGATATCTTCCACTTTCAATGGTTATATCTCACAGTTTACAAATCCTCAGAAATTCAAGCCAAAAATAAACCAATCAAAAACTGTATAATTAGGTTATCATGTCAGTGGATGCATCAGTCATGACTTTACGGCTAACAACCATAGGTTGTCTATCCTATCACTCCTCTCCTTCTAATTCAGTACGATTATGATCGAAAAACACGAAACTGGAAAGCTAGTGAGATGATGAACGAATAGTATGATTCATGCTAGGTGGCTCGCCATCGGCAGGATGTCCTGTCTGAATCAGATCTTGTGGTTGTTGGCCCTCACCTATGAAGCGTAACTGCAGTATTGAAGGAACTCATAACCTCTCTGAGATTTGAACCCGGGTCACCCAGTGCTGCAGTCTCAAAGACAAGCTACTTGAGCTCTCACTTGACCTCCTATTGGACTTTAACGAATACTTTCATTGGACACTAGGCAGTAACTAACGTCATATGTGTAGTCCTTGATCCAAACTGAATTCTATCAGTCAGGTATTATATTTATGCATATTATCATTATACAAATATTTTGAACTGTAATCTGTTGATTTTTAACCCCGTTTTGTTTTTCTCACTGATTGTGATTAGACCGCCATTTTTGACCTTTGTTGATATGTCGGCTCCCAGTGTGGACGCCTCGAAGATATCTGAGGATTGACTTGAAGTACTTTAGTGGATGATAGCTAGCGATAGAATCCAGGATGTGCATTTCGTCCTATTTAGGACTCATCATCTGGATGTATCTCCATTCCAAAGAAGTAATGGTATTTCCATTAAGACTCCGACCCCAGTACCCATTGTTTCAAAAGCTAAAGTGTTATTCACTAAACGTTTTTGGGTCACATAAGCCACCACCTCTTGTACAATGGGCATTCGTTACCGTTTGTTTTTTATTCAATTTTGATTTTACCCATTGACCTTATTGATTCATTGTTATTTAAATCAATAAGGTTGTTAAGAACAACAATTCTTTAACTGCTATAGAACCTGATCAAGAGGGAGTTATCGAAGTGAATATTTTCTGCTTTTTTTTTTACTAATCACTCTTTTAATCATTTTCTTCACAAAAAAATACCTACTTTTAAAACAAAAAAAACTATCTTTTATACAAAAACATAATACAACGAACATATTTCAGTTTCTCTTCTATAAACAATGTACAGCTAATATCATAGCTGTTACTGATGCTGCTGAAAATATACACGTGATTAACAACAAACATTCAGCAATAGCTCCAGACATTTTAACATAACGTGATGCTTGTGCTTGAAGCATTTGTATTTTTAATTCATATACCTCTTGTGCACGAATTTGTCCACTCAATGCTAATGTTTCATCTGGACACGGGAATACTTCACATAATTCCATATGAAAATGTCCTAATCCTCCTTGACATGCTTCACCAAGACAATCACGTGTACGTATACGTCTTTGATGATAGTCAAGACCACAGTTTGGTGAACATTCAGACCATGGTGACCATTGTGACCATTTACCCCGGATAAATTCACAATATTTACCATAAGCTTCTTCTGGACAAATACAATATGTTTCCTGAAATATAAATAAATAAATTTAAAAGAAATATATATATATCTTATTATTTCTAAAAAGTTGTCTAATTTCGACGTTAACTAAGGTAATTTTATCAATTTATGAAGATCCCGTGGTGCGTCGGTGGTACAGCGGTTAGGACGCTCGCCGACCATGCACATGGTCCGGGGTTCGATCCCCGGCCGACGCACTCCTTTACCTTACTAGGCCAGTGATAAGACTGGTAAAGAGGGAAGGTTGGTTGGGCATGAGGCTAGCAACCCCATCCTGTAAAAATAAACACTGCTACCGAAACTTCAAGCCTCTAGATTGAAGCCCTATGTTCCACTGGGAGCGTGAAGGAATAAAAAAATGAAGATCCTGCAGTCTTTTTAAAAGTTATACACACAGTTGTCAGCTACATGCCTTCAAACCATAATGTGGCGAGTATTACTGATAAGATTTGTCAGCATCATATAAATATATGTGTAAAACTTGGGCACTGTGGTAGTAAGTAATTCCATATTAGTTTGTTTATTAGACGTATCACATAGTGAGGAACAGTATTATTTACTGCATGACGTTTCGAACAAAATTTATTGTTCATAATCATATCAATTATAAATATGGCTATAGAGGCAGTCAGAAACCAACTCATTTCTGATCAAGAACTCGAACTTAGGACGAAAGTGCCACTTGGGTACATAATGCTGGGGGTGCAGCTGTGCCTGACTTCCACAGTATTTAAATTCCAAAGGAAAATTTACAAACAAACTGTGGGAGTTGCCATGGGATCACCGATATCCCCAGTTGTGGCAGATATATTCATGCAAAGGTGGGAAAACATAGCAATTGAAACGTTCACCCCCACCCCAAAAGTATGGTGGAGGTATGTAGATGACATATTCACTGTACTTAGAACACAAGATATAGATAGATTTTTTGAACACATCAACTCGAAGGTTGAAGCAATTCAATTCACTTATGAATTGGAAAATCAGGAAGGAGAGCTCCCAATGTTAGATTGCAACGTAAAAAGGAAAGAAGATGGGAAGTTAAACACTAGTGTTTACAGGAAACCCACACATCCAAACAGATATTTGGACTTCCGATCATCCCATCCTATGTCAGTAAAAATTGGATTGGTGAAATGTTTAAATGACAGAGCACAAAAACTAAGTAGTACCAAGGAAAATCTAAAAAAGGAACTGATACACATAAAAGAAGCCTTGAAACTTAATAATTACCCGGATAAATTAGTCAGGAAATGTAAAAATAAAATAAATAATGATAGTAGTGATAGTAATAATAACAATAATAATGATAATAATTATAGTGATAATAATAATAATATTAATGACGACACCAACAATAAGGAATCTAAATCATCAGTAGTAATTCCATACAAGGAAGGAACCTCGGAAGCCTTACGCAGAATTCTCAACAAGGCAGGAATAAAAACGACATTCAAACCCACAAACTCAATTGGAAACAAGCTTTGTCGGTTAAAGGATCCTGTGGAGCCTTTAAAACAAAACAATTTAGTTTACCTAATACCCTGCTGGTATGACTGTCAGGTCAAATACATAGGTCAAACTAGTAGAACAGGGGCAGTCAGACTAGCTGAACACAAAAACCTAGCAAAATCTAGATTAGTTGACCCGAATAAGATAAGAAATCCAGAGAATAGTTCAGCCATGGCACTACGTGCAATTAAACACAACCATACAATAGAGTGATGGGATAAGATGACAGTTTTAAAATCTAATACAGCTAACAGGGTAGAGGGAGAGATTGATAACAGAAGCTTTGTTTATCGAATCAACTGCAAATACATGTAATAGGAATAATTCAACACCTGTCTCAGATATCTAGAAAGTTCTACTACCCCTACGACGACAAATAGCAGAGAATAAAGAAAACTATAAAACTCAAGTTTCGAAGTCGTATGATTATAATTGATGAAATGATTATGAACAATAAATTTTGTTCGAAACCTTGTCATCCAGTACATAATACTGTTTCACTGTGTCAAACGTCTAATAAGCAAACTAATATGGAAGCATACAAAGAGACGTTCATCGGCAAATATACATCAAATAGCAGGGAGATACATTAGAGAAATGAAAGGAATGCAAAGAAACACAACACGAAGTACAGAAGTAACCACGATACAAAGATCTTTGCAAATGGTGCGTTCTGAAGGATAAGGTATACATAATTTGATCACATATAGAGATACCAATTTCCAAATAAACATTCCTTTACCAAGTCTACGTCTTCTACCGTTTCAATAAGACATTTATTACAAATCAGTAATGAAAGGCTTTCAGTGATGACGAGCAGTTACTTACTTCCCGTGGCTGCCTACACTGTGGGGGTTGATTTCTTCTTAATATGCCTAAAACATCAGATGCATTAGTGTTGCGTAATTGCAGGGTGAAAGGAGCAGTAGCCTGCTTAAAGAGATTTTTGAACTTGTATTCGTAAGAAGACCACATAATGGGTTACGGACCACCATAGGATAAGTTGGGTTATATGATTTTCTAAGCTAACATTTTCCAGTCGCTGTCTCCTGAACAGGAAGCAGCATGGTTGGCATGCTGGTCGCCTGAGGGAAACTTCTTATTACTGGTTTATCACTATTCACCCCCAGAACTCGGAATAGTGTACACGATCTACACTATGATAGTAACTACTTTTATTCTAACTGCTATCCAAGAGAACTTTCTGACATGTTAGAACTTGCAAGAACATTCGTTGCAGCCAGTATAGCTGGTTGGGTTATTGAGATAATGAAAGCCCGATAGCCATTTCTAGGTAGCATCTATTAATCAGAGATCACAATCTGTGATCTGCTTCATATCTTAAATGAAAGTCAAGAAAGCATAAATGCTTGATTCTATGTACCACCGATTGATTGACATTGAGTAGTTCGACACCATTCACCTCTAGCTGTAGTGCTTGCTAGCCAGGTTGAAATAGTCTGAACACCATATGGTCACTTCGCTCCTTATGGGTAGAGCTCATCAGCAGTGTACCTGGTTCGATTCAACTCAGAAAGCCGAATCAGTTGAAACCATCTGAATCCTGGCTAGCTATTTGAGCGAACCGGTAATATGTTGAATCAAATTCGCGATTTGCAATCTACACAGTTCTACATGAAAATTCACTATAGTTTCCTTTGGAAACCAGAATCGTTAAATTGTCAGTAAATTTCTTGAAAATTCTTTATAATGATTATGTATCTACCAGTTTGACTGCTCCTGTGGAGCCCGTTACAAAGGCCTTACAATTAGGCGTGTTTCTCGTCGGATTTCCGAACATCATCATACTGCGTGGTTAAGTAAAGGACAAACAAAATCTACTCGTAGCTCTATTTCATCTTGTGGATACAGAACACAAGAATGATGTTAACCAGGCTTTCAAAGTCATTTACCGCTTACCAACAAATCTTAACTTCGCCTTAAAGTTCGTCTACTAAATGTTACTGAGGCTGGCTGTTGGGATCCACATTAAGAAGCCTCACTTATGTATCCGAAAGAAGCTGGTTCAGATACTGTCCTTACCTTGGTCATCAAGGTTCTAATGATCCTCAATTTGTTGTTGTGGAAATTTCATTGATTCTATTTGATATTCTATTTACTATTACATTTGTTTGCTTATTATAACTAATGCGTCTTTCTTGAACCGTAATTTCTTCGATCTTAACATGTCGATAATATTTAGAAACATCAGTATTGTTAATGGCGATTATTCTAGAATATTCTATACATATATAGAATTGTTGAGCCAGAAGAGGAAATTATCGAAAGGGATATTCTTTGCTCACTTTTTTTTCCTAAGTGATTTCAGTTAATTCTGTCCTCATCAAAGTTTTATCTATCAAAACTAAACATAAATCATATTTAAAAAATATTTTTGTTTACATTAAATTCATGATTTCATGAAAGCCACAAATGTTTACAATAAGATTTCAAGAGATGATTGATTATTTTCAACATCACCTTGCAAACACATAATCACTTATCTTCTTCAGTACATTGATTGGTTTCTATCGGACCTAAGGGCTCAGTTTCTGTTTTACAATGTTAACTCGTAGTAGTAATAGTAGTATTGTAACGACTGAAGACAGGGGCCAGGCAACAAAACGCTTATTCAGGAAATCAACTGATATTTATATATTTTTATGTACATAATTATTCGTTGTTACTAGCGGAGAAACAGCGTCTTCTGATTGGTTGTTTTCTCGCTGAAAGTTATTCTGTCATCTCTTTGTGGCCATTTCTTTGAAGGTCAGACCTTATATCTGCGAATCACTTCCGCCCACGCAAAGTCTGCTGTGATTGGCTGTTTAGTTAGCCATTGTTCTTGTTTTTTCTCATGACCAAGAAACGGGACGTAAACATTGACGTAAATTATTGTCTACCATTTTTGGCTAGTAGACAGCTCTCACCACAGTATGGATGCTTCAATGATGCTTAATGGTTGACATAATACTGTTCGGATTGATGGTGAAAGCGGATGAATCAAAGATGTGAGTTTCTTTCTAGTTGGGACTAGTCAGTCGAATGTGACAGTAGGTTCAGTGAATGTTGGTGTTCCTATTGAGACTCAAACCCAGTATCCTTTGTTTCAAACAAAATGGGCCTTGAGAATCACGTGTGGCCTGAATTCTACTGCTAGCTATCAGTAAACAAGTAACTTTGAGTTCATAACCCTGATAGTACCAAAGCTCATATACCGAAATGAAACTGATCATTTCTATGCAGAAATAAATGGACGAGGAAAGTCACAAACATGAATCAGTGATTCCATTGCAATTCTGTTTTCAAATGCTGAAATATTCAGAAAACCAATTTTATTCTTCACAACACTAAGTATAGCGTTAAAAGAACAAAATTGATACACCTAGCAGCCAATATTCATTGATGCTGTATTCTTTTTAATCCTTATTCTATAATAGGCTTAATAAATAAAGTTGTAACCTGTGTGTTTTACTCTTTCACCTATCTGTATGTACAACGATTACTTAATACAGTTTATTTATTAACAACGGAGATTAAAACATAATGGCAAATTGATTAGAGCTCACTGTTTATACGAGCGAAGACAGAAGTGATCACAAGGTGTTTTCGCGCATAGTGTAGCGGCAAACACCATAAGGGATATTCCAGTTGTGTAAAAAAATCGATAAAACACTTTTACAACAGCCAAATCTAACATCTTATTTCATTAGAACATTCTTCTGAATACTCAGTACAAAATCACGTAAGATCAACTACTTGAAGAAATTCAAATCGTAATTGACTGCCTATGTTCTCTCCATTCAAGTAGGCAGAAACCAAAGAGAGGTGAATCTATTTTTTGGTGATAACTTATGTACTGGATGGGTTTATAGCATACCCTAACAATGACTCTAAGTGTAACAGCATACTCCTTTGCTGTGTTCACATAGTGCCTGACACCAGTTTACTTGGGCACAGCCTAGTTTGACTGCTCCCATGCTTGGATATAGTCTGCCTACAATCCATGTCATCGAATTCCATTAAACGTGAAGTGGCAATGCGCGTTCTTTCATTGACCATAGACCTCTTGAACCTTCCTGAGAATTTTACTCCCCAGAGTATGAAGTATATTGTAAAACGGATGTGCGAAGACTTTGCCTTCTTGAAGAAGCTAACGAGCTATAGATTTAAATTAAAGTGGAGTTATACAAGCCTACTACTCTAAGTCTTATACCTCAGAAGTATATTAACAAAGCCATGACAGAATGCATTAAAAAGTGTCTTTAAGTGTATAGAGAGATTTCGGTGGCCTGTGTAACAGAATAATTGCTTGGAAAATCCCTTCTGGATAATCTTATTAAAATATTGATACTTATTTGGATATTTCAACTAACTTTGTAAACTTTTTCCTGTCTCCTCCTGGGCTGTATGTTCTTCTTCTTCTAACGTTTGCATATCATCTATTCACTAAATCCTCATTATCTGTCTTTATTTTTATGTAAACCCTAATTTAAATGCTTCTCTTTGCGGTTGTGTAATAGTGTTAGTAATCCGTTAATTTACGACTGTCATTTTGACTGAATGAAGTTAAGGTTATCCATGGGGATTTTGACCTTGGACTACCCGCTAGAAATATTTGGTGCATCATTCTCACTGGCAGACTTTTGATCCCACCTAGCTGCGAATATTCTTCTTGAATCTCAGGTACTTAATATGGTTGATTTATGTTACATAATTTCGTTGTATACTACTTGATTTGTATTTGAGAAACCACTGACTTTGTACAGCTGTTCAACGCCAATGTTGAGGTAATTTGTAGTTTTCGCATGTTATTATTGTTAAACAGTACCACAGATTTTACCTCAAATAACCGTCGTTTTGCTGTCGCCAAGGCGCTTTGAAGCGACAAGTAACTCAAGAAAGTTTTGGTCAAATATACATTAAGATACGAAAGTTGGTTCCCAGTGTTTCTGTAACTATATTAATACATCACTTCGACGTTTTTCCAATGAGGTATTTATTTGGACGACTTTGCATATACCAGTTTACGCCGTCTCTGGCTTAGTAGACGTGATATCCGGCTGGCTGTCGACCAAAGGGTGTGTGTACTGCTCAGCAGTTAGCTCCGTTATCCTTTATGGCTGTGAGCGGGACATGGCCATTGACAGTGGAAGACATGAAAAGCCTGGCTAGCTGACTTTGATCATAGGTGTATCAGTTCTATCTCCCGTGTGAAGTGATATAATGCGGTGAGCAATACTGGGGTTAGGTAAGGAGGGGAAAACAATCGACGAGGCTGTGAAGTTACATCGACTGAGAGAGATGGTTAGGACATGTGTCACGCATGCCTAGCCCAGCCGTCGCCTTCCTCGACGAGCAATGTTAGCTGACATAGAATCAGGTTGGAAAAGAGCCAGTGGTGACTAAACCAAAACATGGCTTCATCAGTCAATGAAATCCACAACAGTTAGTTTAAGCCAGCTAGCCAGCCACTTAGGGAGGTTTAAACTTCCTGACTAGTTGGGGTCCTCGGGATGGTAAAAACCAATGAGGGCTGGAGACAATTGGTGATACGGCTGAAAATCGTTCTCAATGGCTACCGTAGATGCATCCACTCATTTTGACTTATAGTATCCAATAAAACTATATAGTTCTTCCATATAACTATTCTTTTTGCGTCAGATCTCTGTTCACTGTCTCTATTTTGCATTTCTTTTTACTTTCTTCTCTTGCTTTGTGTGCTACGTGAAGTGTGGCGACTCAAACTGCTGCACATCTGTGCAAAGTTCTATGTTGAAACCAGTTAGTCATTTCGATGGCTTCCGCGTTCTTGCTATAGTATTGCTTCATAGTCATATCTAATCTTCAGACTTCGAAGTTAAACACACACACATACATAAAATTTCATTCTCATGCTTTTATACTGCTATATGTTGCCCATTACATCAGAAATACCTCTTATTTTGTTTGTCTAAGTGGAGCTTATTCAAACTGGCAGGAGGGCTATTTGGGAGCATCCCATATTACTGCATTATATACTCACTCTACACACATATCTGAGCAATTTATTTAAACAAAACTTAGAAATTCAATATTCAATGTGATTTGTTTAATTTAATCAAATTAGAGAAAAGGTTAATCTTTATTTTTGTTTTATTATTATCATCTTTACTTACTTGTCCATTTTTTGAACTGACACAATCTCCACGTATACATACCGTACTAACACAACGATCTCTAAAGGCTAAACAATTTGGGAAAAGATAAGATGGATCACTTGTAAGTGATGATGGACACCTTAGAAGAGAAAAAAAGAGCAATAAAAATGAAGTGAAGGTAATTTTATTTTGAAAAAAATAAATAAATAAAAAATAGGTGATCATTTCGCTGCAATCATTTTAGTCAATAATAAATTACTATACCCTTTTTTTAAGTTAATTCGCGTTTCGCTTTGATTGACCATGTTGGATTGAAATCCTTGATCTCTGTTGACATGTCAGTTCCTAGTAGAGAGCTTCGACGACATTTATTGGTTAACGTGATGTTATTATGGTTGATAGTGACTAGTAATGGGATGAATAATAGCTGATATCTTTTGTACAAGAGGTTACCCAAGTGGCCTAGTGGAGGGAAACCCTCTGGCGTTTGAAACGATAAATCCTAGGTTTGAGTCTCAACTGGAACACTATCACCTCCTGTGAATGTAGGTACGTCCAACTGACGAGTCCCCAACAGGATGAAATGTACATCCTAGATTCCACTGTTACTCACCATTAATCCTATTGCAGCCTAAATTTTCATTTCTCCTTCAATCAACATCTACTCGACCACTGGTCAATGATAGTCACTGCTTGTACAATAGGGTTAATTGAATTTATCAGGAATACATTGAAATCAAAAACTATAAATAGCGTAAATATAAAATTAATTGCAACTAACTGGCAGTAATATGTATTCGTTCCTAGCGTCCCCAAGCATACACCGCCGTTAGCTATATTACATGCCATATTTCCAGGGATACCAGAGGCTACTTCAACACACGGGTCGCGTGTAGTATTGCAATTTATGCCCATATGAGTTGGCTAAATGAGAAAAAAGTGACAAAAAGAGCAAAATTTAAGTAAAAAACAGCATAAATGTTTCAAATTTATAAATAAAAGTTTAATTTTGAAATAACAGATAAGATTTGTGGTTCATTTGGTTGCTTTTGATACTGTTGTGTACTCTGAAATGGATGAAAGTTTCATTGTCCATCTAGACAACATCTCCAGTGCTTATTTAAATGTGAAGTGAGTTTTTGTTTGAATTTTCCATGGCTCTGATGACCTTGACTGTGATTGGCTGTCTTGTCTTTCTAATAATTTTTAATGGTATCGATTATTTTGTCGATGTGTTGTTTGACAGTGGAAATATTAAAAATGTTCGAGAATTCTTAGAATCCTGATACTTCAGTGATCAATCTTCACTCAGTGAATTTATCAAGAATCAGTCATATGGCCTAAAGGTCAAACACAAGGATGAGTAAACTCCTAAAGACAACTAATCATGGTCAAGGTGATCTCAGGAGAAGGTAATATTATCAGTGGAGGAATTTCAAAATACTCACTTCATATTGGGAGTATGCACTAAAGATGTTACCGGGAAGGACAAATGAGAGCTTCAGAGTTAAATCATCCGACTCAAAGAACATAAGCACAAAAAGAAAGGATCAACAAGTTATTGATAATTTAAAGATCATTTGTTTAAATCCATAGTTGATCAGCTTGTCTGCTGTGCAAGAATTAAAAAAATCACTTCTGAAGAATGCCTGTTTTATTGACGGAAATTTCAACGAGGCTTTTAAAGTAGAGACAGGAGTAAGACAAGATTGCCTACTAACACTCATGATATTCCTGAATATGGTGAACTCGAACATGCGACAGATTGTGGAAAGTGAGAAGACAGGCATATGTTGGAATGAATAAAACACTGTAGAAAATCTGAACTTCTCAGAAACTTGAAGATCTATAGGCTAAAACCAACAAGTTGGGAGGAGGAGCAGACAGGGAAGACAGGAATTCAAATGAATATAGTGAAGACAGAGGTTATGAAGTTGCCTAACCAAAAATGAGGAGTCTAAAGGAAGTCGTCACCTTTACTAGGCAACATCATTTGAACTACAGATAGCACATATGAGGATGTCAAAGGCAGGCAAGATCGGAAAAGTAAGACAGACTTTTATTACTCTGAAATTAGTGTGGAATCTACTGCAGTGAGCATAAGGAATAAGATCTGAGTTTTCTATACTAATGTCAAAACACTCAGTGCTTCTACATGGTTCAGAGATTTGGTATGCATGTAATGAAAAGCACTTCCAACAGCTTGCTACATACTTTCATAAAGAACTGCTTTCGTTTCACAATGAAGATCAGTTGACTGGTCAGAAAGGGTGAGCAACGATGAACTCTGATAATGAACCAACCAACCATCTATTACTAAACATATATATGAAGAAGCAAAATGGAAGAAATGGATGAGATTTATACTGAGGAGACCGTTGAGTGATATCACATGCTAGGCTGTCAAGTAGAATCCCGAGTGTGAGACGATGATCGTCTGAGTAGGAAATGTGAGTTTATGGGCAATCATGGATATTGTTTATTATTATTACTTCCTTTAGTTATTAGAGGAAGATAGGGCTTCAGCCACACGTCTCCATTGCGTCCCGTCCTCCGCCAACGTTTTCACTTGGCTCCACGTCCGCCCACATGCTTTCATCTCCTCTTCACATGAACTCCTTCATGTCACCCCCACACTGACAACCAACTCGCCACTAACCCATTCGGGTTCCACTCGAGCGATGGCCTGGCTTGTGATGTCACTCACTTGATGGTTTGTCTTCCCAGAGTATGACCAATCTAAGCCAACTCCATTTCTTCCTGCATGTTTGTTGCACAATTTGTTCCTGCTGGGTTGGTTCTCTCCCAGAGATCCCTCCCTGTTGCTGAGCTTTTCTAGCCGGCCTTCTGATCTTGAGTAGTATGTAGTGAAGACAGCTGTTGATGAAAGTCGGTAGTTTGTTTGAGGTGCTCTTCATGACGCGCCAAGTCTCTGATCCGTGTAGTGAGTAGCACTGACTTCACACTGTAGTTAGAAATCCGGATCTTATTTTCATTTTCATGCTGAAGAATTCTGTTGATCTCCACACAGACTTGAGAGAAATGAAAGCTTGCCTTGCTTTCCCGATCCTCGCTGCTTTGATATCCTCATCAGTTCCATCCGCCTGTAGTTGAAACGATGCTTCCCAGGTAGGTAGGTAGGTAGTAGGTAGATGAAGGAGGTTGCTTCTCTCAGGTTTCTCCCATTTATGCTGATTGTTGTCTATTGTTGATCTCTATGGGTTGTCGATCTCTATGTTCACCTGAAGTCCTTCCTATCTTTGCTTCTTCTGCCAACTTGTTGCTTTTCACTCGCACATCTTCCAGTTTGCGAGAAATCAGACATATATCACATTGGCGAAGTTCAGATCCTCCAAGTTTTTTGTGTGGGTCCATTTTATGCCTGTTTCCTCGCTACCCACCGCCGTCTGTCGCATTATCCAGTCTACCGGAATCAGGAAAATCATTGGAGATAATAGACAGCCAGCTTGTCTTACTCCCGTCTTCACTTCGAAGGAATCCGTGAGTTTTCCGTTGTGGATTACTTGGCATGCAGCATTATCGTACAACTATTGGATGAGGTGTATAAATGTTGGTGCCCCCCCCCCTAGTGGAAACCATGGAACCAGGTAAATAGAGAGTTCAGAGAATAGAGTGAAGTAGAGATATCCTATGCAGAATTCCTATGTTTGCCTGGAAACTTAAATCTTATTAGGATATATTCAAGTGCTTCCTTTTTGTCTATTTTGTTGTACAAATAAAACGAATGTAGAAAAAAAATAAAGCCAATGGTTCTACTGACTTAATCTATCTATATTCCCTCCGATAATAACCTACAATGTTTATGTATAATGTAAATATAAACGTGATTATGATATGCCATTATTACAAATGAACTTATTGCCTTTCAAAATAATGAACCCATGCATTATTAACTATGTAATTCCACTTGTACTAATACACTGTATTGGAGAAAAGAAAACTTTCAATGCACACACACACATCTCTGTTTACTTTCCATCACTATGGTGACAACAATTTCCATTCAAATCTTATTCTATTTCTTTTCCTATATAAATAAATAAATAAATTACGTCCCATTGTACTTTTTTTTTAAAGTTGTAAAGTACCGATAAATAACACTTGATCACATGAGGAAGAGAGAAGAAGAAAAGTGTTCAATGGCAAATTTCTTCCAGTTAAAATCAAAATCAGATGATGTAAAGCAGCCATTTGACCCTTTATTTTTTAAATCGAAAACAAAATTCTTTATTGTTTCTTTCTCTTGATTTGTTTCTGTGCTAAAGAAAGTAAGTCATCGACTGTTTCACATATGATTTAGATGATGACTTCTGTAATCTCTTAGTGCTAATGTCAGCGCTAACCTTATCGATCAATGTTAGATGATATGGGATTAAGTTGGAAAAAACATTTAGAAGTCGTCAAAGCGAATTATACTATCGGTTCATAAAGTCTTTGAGTCTTTAGTTTGATTGGTCGGAGGATTTCATCACCAGCTGACATCAGTTACAGAATCATTGGAAAACAGCCTGGGAGTACTGGACAGCTGTTTCGTCATCCCAGTTTAAGAATCTTCATCATCACGCACCCACACTGCGGGGTTTGAACCCAGCACCTTCTGTTTACAAGGCGAGCTAGCTTGTAGACCATTAAGCTACTGGGACCCGATGCAATGGCCGGCCCATGAATTCTAACTTCTGCCAATTCATGACATAGCGCGACCACTTCGCAATGTCTTCTCCAATGAGTTACTGCCTCACCTTCAACCTGCTTGATCCTACTGGTCACGACATCCCACTAGAACTCCAGGTAACTGCCTGAATAGGGCCAGTCGTTAGTGAGCATCAGATGAATTTCCAGGTATTGGTTTTGTAGGATTTTTGTTTGAATGGTTGGAGGATTTCATCATAATGCAGCCAAGTTGAGAGATGTATACTGACTTGTTGGGATCCTCGAGATACTAAGAACAAATGTCTACAGACTGTTGATCATAAGGATCAAAATCCTTTTTATGACCTCTCAAATCTATTAAATTCTCATTATTTCCATATAATTATATCATCTGGGGTAAATCTCTGTCTATTGAAGTTTCTATGCATTTATTTTTATCTCTACCTTTATGTGCTCTCATGACATGTGAGAAATTGAACTACTGCACATTTATATACAGTTCTGCTTGGAAAATTCAGTTCATTTCAATTCCTGTAGTCTGCAACTATAGGTTGATAATTCTAGCTTAACGGATTCATTGGCATAAACTGAACTCATGTATTTATTTTAATAAGAATTTTTTGGCATTGTGAGTTTTTCAATGTTTTTCACTTTCCATAGTTTAAAATGTTATTCAAGAAATATTTAATGCTAGATTGGAGTAAAATAAGGCGGCTGGTTCGAATCCTGATATAGCTTAGATTTTCAATATACTTGGAACTACTAAATCATTATATCAGTAATATTGCGTAAATCAAAGGCTATCATAGAAGGTCTTAGCATCAAGAATTGACGTGTAAGAATAGATTTTAGTTATCGGAAAGTCAATATATACTATCCCTATCAACAATATTTTTTTAGGGGATGCATAATTTAGTAAATTGTGTTGTATCACTTAGTGAGATATACAATAAACTGATTTAACATGAAACTCCTAATCCAGTTTCACATTAGAGATTACCATCCAAAAGTAGATGTTGTGAACTAACATCATTTAGAAAATCAATGGAAACCAAGAAGTGCTGGATGGCGATTTCTCCCCAGTTATGGTCTCTTTAGCAGTGTACATCGACGAAACCACCAGAAATGGAATCTGAAATCTTCAAGTTACGAGGCTACTTAGGCTGGGATTTAATGACCGACTAGTTATAACTTCTGCTCAGCAACCAATAAAACATTTGAGCATCCACTTGACCTTGAGATAGTAAGTGAAT